ACCTGGAGTGTCTGTATCATGTCCTCAGCGCCCAGCACGTCCTCCACGCCAGCGTCATAGTAGATGTTCCCATCCTCATCGACGCACTCACCGCCACCACCACCACCCTCCCCAGCTGCAGCACCGGGGGCTGCTGCCTGGGGTGGGCTCTCAGCCGCCACAATGACGCACTTCTCCGCAGCAGAAGGCCTCTTGCTGCCCAGCGGCACACCAGACCACACAGCCGCGTCCTCCCCTCTGCTGTCGTCGCCGGACTCGCCCTCGTCACTGGCTGATGAGGCGTCGCTGCCCATGGCGATGCGATCGTCGGCAGCGGTGGGCAGCTTGAGCAGCCCACTCCGGGTCAGCTGGCCGTCGGCTGTGCGGTGTGCGAGTGCAGGGTCGGTGGTGAGTATGGGGCTCTCAAGGGCGAGCAGCTGCAGGGCGTCGCGCTCCCACAAGGTGCGCCTCAGAGACACCCTCTCACCAGCATGGACGATGTAGTCCCTGCCCTCGACATCAACGTCGCCCCGGGTGGTCCCCGCCGTGCACTCCTTCCGACCCCTCTCTCTTGGTTGCTCCATCCGCAACTTGGCGCGCCACTCCTTTCTCAGCATCCGCCGCTCGTACTCGAGGTCGACCCTCAGACGGATGTGTTGAAGGGCGGTGATGCGGTCCGTCAGAGAGGCCAGCAGGGGCATCTCGTGGGAGAACCTCTTGGCGGCCGCTGCTCGGCCTGGGCCCTTGCTGGGGGCTTGGGTGGGGTTGGGAGGGTCCAGATATAAACACAGCTTCAGGTCCTGAAAGGGGGGATAGTGAGTGAGTGAGCAAGGCGTGCAAAGAGTGAGTGCCCCGACAGGCAGGCAGGCATCTCTCTCCACCCACGCACGCACCCCAGGCAGGCAACGCACCCTGATCGTGAGAGTGACGACGATCCTGGGGTCCTGTCTCGGCCGAGTGTCCTTGCCCCCTCCCGGCCGTGGGACGTCGACAGGCTGCCGGCCGTCCCACCCGAGCCAGTCGCCCGCGGCGTCCGCACAGCAGGACAGAAGCAGCCCCAGACGGGAGAAGCCACGGCTGCACACACATGACACACAGACAGACAGACAGACAGATATGAATGGACGGACGGCAGACGTGCTGTGCCGCCGTCGGGGTCGCTCACGCGTAAAGTGCGATCCGGTTGTATGGGTCGAGCTGGAGGGCCTCACACGCCGCCTCGTAAGCATCCTGAACATACACACGATGACAGCAACAGATGAGTCAGTCCATCGCTGATATCTGTGTGTGTGTGTGTGTGTGGGTCGAGCAGACAGACAGACAGACAGATGCAGAGAGACTGACCATAAACTGGGCCCTTTTGAGGTAACAGACGCCGAGGTGGGCATAGCAGTCGAAGGCGATATTCTTGGCCCGGTAGCTCAGCTCTAACGTGGGCGCCTTGAAGTCCTAGCATTGACATCCCCCCACACAACACACAACACACAACAGAACACACCAATCCTTGCCCGCAATATGATGCCCAGTATCGCAGTGCAGTGCAGTGCAGTGCCGTCCAGTGCATGTGTGTGTGATCGTGGTCAAAAATTTGCTCACTCGCACGACCCGCACGTCGTCATCGCGAAAGCCATCCCGACGCCAATTCGGATTCCTGACAACACACACACCCACACACACACACTCCCAGTGGTGGGTGGCTGTGTAGCCTTCATTTGTTCCTTTCTCACTGCAGTACTGACTGACATGCAGAGGCCATAGTGGAACATGCCCGCGGCCCGCTCGTATGACTCGATGGCGTTGGCAAAGCAGCCCCGCTGGTACCACCGCTCTGCCACACGAACCAGCCGCTCCGCCGCAGCCACACGACGCTCAACCGAATGCCGACGGACGCGCTGCACGTCACATCAACCAACAGCCCGTGACGGCAATGTGCATGCCTTGACCCTGACCCGCGACCCGTGAGTGAGTCACTGACTGACTGACCTGTGTGTCATCCGGGTGCAGCAAGGTGTTCCTCAGAAAGGCAGGCCAGTAAAGCGGGCAGCTGAACTGCACAAGGTTGCTCAGCTTGTCGGCGATGCAGCGGGTCTCCCCGTCGCCCAACTCGCCCTCTTCGCTGACACCGCCTCCCTCTCGGCCTGGGCACTGCAGGTCCTCAGTCGACGCCGACGGCGACGGACCGGAGTCAGGTCCGGGCTTATGGGAGGACGGGCTCGACTCGCGGGCGGCTGCCAGGCACCTGAGCCGGGCCTCGAGGGCATCCTGCACGTCCTGCATCGCCTCGTAATGCATTCTTCAAGCAGTTTAAACAAAGAGAAGAATTGCACACGGGGCCAGGTGGGCTTAGGGGCAGGGGTTTCGCCAAACCTTTCGGCTGGCTCCTGGGAGAAGGGGACTGCTCATCTGACTGATTCGCTTCAAGTCCTTTTTCCACCATTTGCCATTTGGTGAGCTTATATTGTATTCGTTCGATGTCTGTCGTCCCTCAGCATCGGCCCAGCAGCCTGCCTTCCTTCCCACACGCTCGCGGCCGCGACTATGCATTGCGGGACAGCAAAGCTCTCGTCAGACAGGGGCTACCCGTTATGACCAAGAACGGGCTCGACTTCAGCAAAGTCCTGGTCAGACCACCCGACCACAGCAAGGCAAAGTTGTGCACGTGTGTATGCCCGTCTGTCTGTCTGTCTGTCTGGGTGGTCCTGGATTGGATGTGTGTGTTGTGTGCAGGTGTTGCTTGCCTACGCCGGACGATCTGGGAGTGAGTTGCAGAGTGCCGCTGGTCTGGCCATTTTTCTCGTCAACTCATTCTGGTGGGTGGGTGAGCGGAGGGAGCACTCGACGGCCTTATATGCATAGGCGCACACACGACGAGCTGACTAGACTGACATGTATGTGATGTGTGATGTGTCACGTGTGTGTCGGTTGTTTGTTCTGTGTCTGTCTGTCTGATCAGCATGGCGTGCGGCCTGGGGTTTGCCAGGAGTCTGGACACGCTGTGCTCCCAAGCCTTTGGTGCGGGGGCTGACCGAATGGCGGGCATCCAGCTGCTCCGCGGGCTGTTCATGCTGCTGGTCCTGCTCATCCCCCTGGCCGTCGTGTGCGTGGCATCGCGCTTCTTCTGGCCCCTCTTTCTCGGCGATGGGGTCGCCAGCATGGTGGCCTTCCAATATTGCCTTTGCTTGATGCCCTCACTGCCCTGCCGCTGCTTCTACGAGGTGGGTGACTCAGGGACGGACGTCCACACAAAACACAGACACATGGATTGCTTCGCGCATTGTTTGTCTGGTGTATCAGGCGGTGGACAAGTTTTATCTGTCCAAGGGCGTGACCCACCCCCAGATCTGGTTTGCCGCCCTCTCCTTCGTGTGCATGGTGGGCCTCATTTACGTGTTCGAGTCCTTCCCCGGCCACGCCCCTCCCTGCGGCTTCGTCTGCCCCCCCATCGCCTTCTCCACGGCCTCCTTCCTCATGGCCATGTGCTTCGTCGTCTACTCCCTGGTCACCGACAGACTCGAGTGGACCAAGGGCTCACTCAGTGAGGTGCTCGACTCCCGGGGGCTGATGGAGATCTGCAAGTTGGGGGGCTCGGCGGTCGTCATGACTTGCCTCGAGAGGTGGTGCTGGTCCGGGGTGGTGTTTGTGAGCGGGGCGTTCGGCAACGTGGCGGTGGCTGCGTCGGCGAGCCTGTTGTCGCTCTACTCGGCGCTCGCTGCGCTGCCCTGGGGCCTGAGCAACGCGACGGCGGTGCTGGTGGGCAATGCCATTGGCGACTGCAACTATCGACAGGCCAGGCGGCTGTGCTTCGCGGCCCTTGTGCTCATCTTCGCCGTCATGTCCGTCTGCTGCGGCTCAGTGGTGCTGTCCCGAAAGCCTATCGGGCACATTCTGGCGACCGACCATCACACCCACAACACCATCGTGGCCCACCTGCCCCTGCTGATGGCCATCCTGCTCGCGGACTCCCTCTACGCAGTGCTGCGTGGGGTTCAGGACGGCATCGGCCGGCAGTTTCCCTCGGCCTGTGCCAGCGTGTGTGCCTACGTGGGCGTGGGCATCCCTGCGGCGTGTGTCTTCTGTCTCGCGTGGTCGATGCGGCTGTGGGGGCTCTTTAGCGCCCTTGCCCTCGCAGTTCTGGTGAAGGTGATGGTATTCTCCGTTTTCCTGTGTCGCGTCGACTGGCCGTTGGAGGTGAGCAAGGCGCTGCAGCGGCTGAGCGTGCAGACGCGTCAGGAGGGCGGGATGGGCATGGGCATGACGGGAGATGGCGCGTCGCCCAAGGCGCGGGCGTATCGGCTGATCCACGACGACGACATTGTCCACAGAGAGACCGATGACGGCATGGGGGGATGACGGACTCACTGACTCACTGACGGGGTGTATACGTGTCGGTAGGTCTGTGTGTGTGTGACTGCGGGAATTGTCGAATGCATTATATATATTCCTATACATCTCCATGCGGATGGATGGATGGATGTGACGCGCGTGTGCACTAGTGCCGTGTGCCTGGGTGTGTGGGCGTCTCTCTCTGTGTGTGTATGTGCGTACTTTTGCGATCTTGATGGAGTCGCGGTGCACGCAGCGATCACGCCCGTCGTCGATTTTCCTCAGCCACCAGAACACGCGCACACGCGACCTTTTTGAGCTTTACGTAGGATGTATTCCCCCCCCCCTCTCTCTGTCTCTTTGGTTAGCTACCTACCTAATGCTCCCGGCATGATGCAGTGTAGGTGTAGGGGTGTGTGTGTGTGTATTGGCGTACGTGGACATCCACGTGCGAGCAAGCCAACCGGGAAAAGGTTCTGACTGACGGGGCCCATTTCTCGTCTGACCCTACGGATGTGGGGTGGCCTGTCTGTCTGTCTGTCTGTCTGTGTGTCTGTGTGTCATTCACTCTTCCCAGCTCTGGTGGCCCGTTTGCCCACCAGGGACTCTGGTTAGTGGCTGACTGGTCGCTTTTCGTGGTGGCTGACAGGGAGGGATAATTCTGCCTGCCTGGCTGGTCGCAGTTTCTCTCTCCGCATCTGTGCGTAGCTCTCCGCAACTGTGCGTAGCCATGTCTGCTTTTCGCATACGCGTGGGTTGCCTGCCTGGCTGCGTGTGGATGCGTGTGGATGCTGGTGCGTAGCTATTTGTTACGAATTCCCTACTGCTGATGAGTGGTGGGTGTTTGGACACTTATTCGGCCATCCATCCGGGCATCCATTCCTTCCTTGATTCATGTGATTCATTCATGTGTGGCGAAGTGAGTGAGTGCATCGACGAAGTGTATGTTTGTATGCGTGTGGTGTGCGTGTGTATGTGTGTCTATCCATGGTGAATTCAGACGTCCCTCGATCCGTTTAATGGCAGCTTCTGGCACAGCACAGCCGCACACCACACAGGCAGGCACATCCACACGTGTGCATGCGACAGAGTTCCACCCACCCACACACACACACACAAATATGCACAAACACGTGACGAAGACCCACCCCCCACACCAACACGCACACGCAGAGTCTGACTGTACACCCACAGACGAGCCCACGCAACCCAATGCACCCACTGACTGCCTGCGATCCATCCATCCATCCATCCATTCATCCAGCCATTCGGTCGAGAGAGTGAACCGAGGACCGTCAGCTACTCTACCTACCCACTCAGGCAGGCAGGGCTTGGTAGTGCTGCTGCTGAGTACCTCCCCTCTGCCGTCTGTGGCTGTCTTATCTATCTATCCGCTGGGCCTCATGTGGCTGGCGATGAAAGGCGCCGCCTCCCGGGCCATGTTGTCATACTTGTGCCACGCACCTGGCATGTACCCCTGCACACACAACACACACACAGACCCACACCACACTCCGCTGCTGTCTTGGCGTGGCGTGCCATTATGACTGACCCCCGAGCCGTTGAAGGTGATGAGGTATGCAGGGGTGGAGTCGAGGATCATCCAGAACCTGTTGAGGACCAGGGCGAAGTACACCCCCAGCAAAAATTCCACCGAGAAGGCCACGCCATACGCCGCCCTCGTCCAGGTGCACAGGCCGTTGCGCGAGATGCCGTCGAGCGTCTCGTTGTAGTGGTGGTAGGCCGCGTCGCTCGACGCGTAGCTGCTGCACGTCGCCAGGGTGATGTTGTCGAGCACAAAGACGATCAGGTGCGCGGCGATGGCCATGACATAGTAGATGAAGAAGCCCCTGACGAAGAGGGCGTTGTTATCGTAGGCGCCCACCGCGCCCAGGAAGCCAAAGACAATCCCGATGACCCCCACGATGCCCGTTATCAACAGAGTGGTGTGGGAGTACCCTCCCGAGACGAAACGAGGGTCCTGCAGAATGAGGCCGCACAGCGCGAAGATGCCCATGACGAACTGCGCCGCTGCCAGGAGGAAGCAGCCGAGCCGGATGGGCACGCAGAGGCAGCACCTCCCCACGTTGGCCTTGTCGGCATACATGGTGTGGCGACCGTCACGACTTCCGGTTGCACCTCACATAGAAGGCCTCACGCGGCTGGCGTGGTCAGAGGGCTGCTGCCGTGCTGTTTGATGATGCAAAGCCGCTGATGCCCTCGTCGAAGGCGCTGCTTATGCCGGCTGCTCTGTTGCGGCTGCTGCTGCTGTGCTGGAAGGTGCTAATGCCGGCTGCTGCTGCTGTTGCTGGGATGGGCGAATCGCCGGCGGCGGTTGAGGAATCGTTGCAATTAGGCTGTGGGTGCCATCCAGGCTCCTCGAGGGGCCTTGGAGGAGAGTTGCCTGGGCGATGAGCGATCGCCACATCTGCGAGCTCAAAGGAGCTCAAACGCAGATCTTGCTTTCGGCTTCCATCTGGCGAACAATGGGCATGAAACAGAGTGATACCTGAGCTGGACAGTCATGGCGATGATCTGGTTGGGAGCTATCTGCCTCGTGAGCACGCTCTGTGTGACTCTCGTGACGTCCATGGACTCTCGTTCACCTGGCCAGACCAAGCGGCTGTTCCGCCTTCCCTCCCTCCCCCTGCCCACGGCACATCGGCACAAGCCATTTCGTCGCCTGCCGTCGTCGGCTCTGCTGCAGTGGCAGGCGAGTGACTTGGAGCGGCTTCTTGACTTGCGGTGCGGCCCTCCTGGCTCGACAACGGTGTGGTGGTACGGCGGGTCGCTTACCAACGTCATGACGGGCCGGGTGCTCGCTGATGTCGAGGGCGCCGAACTCTCGTATGCGGCAGAGTTCTCTCACAGTCCCTCCCACGCCCACAGCTCCCTCAGTGCAAACAGTGACGCGACTGCTCGAGGCGTTCAGCTGTGCCGCAAGGCGTTCGTCTACTTGCAGCCCGGCAAGCGGCAGCTGATGGAAAGCTTCAGGTGGACACCGACATCGCCTGCGCGTCGGTTGAAGCGGCCGGTGCATGCCTACTCGCAGGCCATCTCACACGTGCTGCGCAACGGCACCCTGGCGCTGATGGCTGACCTGCCGGACGGCCGCACTGTCACTGTTGGCGAGGCCGGAGGGCGACTCAGCGGACCAGCCGCTACTGGTCTGGGTGGTGGTGTTGGAGATCGAGGGCGGGAGAGCCGTTATGGGAGTAGGGAGGACCCTGGCTCACCGTGCTATCTGCAGCTGACTGTGAGGCTGCCCGGCCTGTCGCAGAAGGGCCGGTGGTGGGGTCAGCAGCAGCAGCAGCATCAGGCGGTCGACACGGCAGCGGCAGCGGCAGATCAGCTGCGGGCCAGTGAGGCGCGCGAGAGATGGCGGCAGTGGGTGCAGATCGGCCCCTCCAGGCCGCGACAAGCCACATGCGTCGAGTCCTACTGCTACACCAGACAGAGAAGGGGAAGGCGAACCCCCCTTATCAACCTCCTGTTATCTCGAATGCATCTCCAACGGTCCCCATCAGAAGATGCCGACGTGACCCTGACCTACTCAAGGACGGGTGCCTGCCCAGCCTGGTGCGGCCGTGGCGTGTGCCGCCTGGACCTGCACGGCTCGCGGCTGTCGTCGCCAGACAGCCTGCCGGCCCACCTGCGGGACGCCATCCAATCGGTCGACAGCACCTTCTTCAGTGACCCGCTCCCAACATCGCGGGATGCCTTCCTCGAGGCGTCGAGGCAACGCGCGGAGGCGGTGCGGGCGGCCAGGCGGCGCGGAGGGATGCGGGAGAGGGTGCGGAGGGATGTGTCCGAGGGGTGGGAGGGCTTTCGCGCCGGGATAGGCAGGCTGGCGGAGCTAGTGCGATAGATAGATGGATGGATGGATAGATGGATGGAGAGGGACAGAGAGAGAAGAGGCTAATTGCGTGGTGGTGTTTGTTGCGTATGCGTGTGTGTATACTTGTGTGGGCTGGATTGGGTTGGGAGTGCTGGTATGTACGCGACCGTTGGGTGAGAGGACGTGTGACCTTACTGCCTCATGTCAACGTAAATAGAGGTTTCTGCAGGCCTCTGTCTGTCTGTCTGTCTGTCTGTCAATGTCTGGGGAGCGCTCCGCCTACTTCGAGGCCAACGAAAGTGTGCAGGCTCGCTTACTTCACTTAAATGAGGAATGAGATGGTCCAATCCAATCCACACACACGAGTTCTGTCCGGACGGTAGCAGTCGTACAGTCCCCCAGTCGCATCGCCACGACACGATACGATACGCCCGGTCACTCGCCATCCAACACATCCTCTCAGTAGAGGGCCCCGTACCTGCAGCGCGAGCACGTCACACGGTTATACACACGTGCATCCTAGGCTCCCTCCCTTGTGCGGCCGCCTGTCTGTCTGTCTGTCTGTGCGTCAGTCAGTGAGTCACCTGCTCATGTCGACGTCTTCGCAGGCTCCTGTGGCGATGATCTGTCTGATCCTCTCGAGCACCGACGACCGGTGACACCCGTGACGCATGTAGTACTTCTCCTCATCTGAAACCTCCAAACGTCCACGGGACGGAATGCATCACACTGTACTGTCCCCTCGCTGTCTGTCTGTCTGTCTGTCTGTGTGTCTGACCTTTGAGTTTGTTGCCGGCCTCTCTGAGGAGCACCAGGGCCACAGCAGTCGACGTGACGGGGATGCGACATGACTGCACCACGTCGATCGCCTGACACAAAGGACAAAGGACACACACGCGGGGAGGGAGGGAGAGAGTGCACCAGAGTGCACCATGGGTGGGCTCAATAACCACCTTGTTGTATGCCTTGAGCCGCCATCGGCTGGCATCCTTTCCCGCTGCCGCCCCATCGCTGCGAATCTGCCTTGTGAGGGCGTCCAGGGTGTCGACGATCTGCAGGTTGACCACATACTGCTTCCGCGACGCATCCCACTGTGCTCGAGGGTCGGACTCGAGGATGCCCCTGCACCACTCAGAGATGGATGGATGCACAGACCACACAGACAGACAGACAGACAGACCATAAGGTGAGCAGCTCTTTTGCTGTCCTGTCTTGTCTGTGTCAGCTGTGGGCGCTCACATTTCTTACTCTTGAGTGGAGTTTTGGACGAACTGCTTGTCGAGTGCAGCGAGCGCCTCGGCGAACTCCGTCATGCTGTAGGGGTACGCCGCCGTTATGCCGGGTGGCGGCGACAGCGGAGCAGCCTGCAATGCAGTCAAAGGCAAGACAGCGACTCACTCAGACTCCTGGTCACCATTAGTCAGTCAGTGATTGCAGGCCATGTCATGTCTGTCATGTGTGTGCGTACCGTCGAGAACCGTCGGCGCTGCAGTGGGCGAACGGCGCTTCGGCTGGTGTCTGCCCGACTGCCCAGCCCACGAGACCGCGCGAGGTCTGATTATCACACAAAGCACGCCACGCAGTGCAGATGTGGTCAGAGAGGGCGTGGTGTTTCTAAGATTCCCTCTCCTTGTCCATCCATACCGAGCAGCCTGTTGCGGTCCAGTGGCACAGTATCCACCGTGTGCAGGCTCGGCCAGGGCGACTCGCCCTCGCCCTTGGCCCCGTGTGGGCTGCGGGTGGCTCTGAGCTGCAGCCGACGAGCTGCATGAGTTGGTGCGGGCCGTCTTGACGCCTCGTCCACACGAGCGAAAGACGACGACAGCCGCACGAACGAGCAAGGTACCGGTCTTCTTGGAAGGGTCTGCATCACGACGACGAAGCAGCAGTGCCACAGGAGGTGGACCGGGAGGACGCGATGCTGCATCTATTTGATAGATCCATGCCCAACTTGTCGCATCTCCACCCCGTGCGTGAATGCCATTGCTGACTGAAAATGACTGACGAGGGCAGTGTCGCCGCTCTGGTTGGTTGGTTGGTTATTGTGTTTAACGAGACTCGTGTCTGTAACCCCGAGGGGATCCTGTCCAGGTCACGCACTAAACTAGCAGCATGCACATGCACAGAAGCATGCACACGGCCTGTCTCCCCATCCCACCCAGCCACCCATCCACTCGACACGCACGTGCCACCCTATGATGGTCAGAAAAATCGCGGTCGACACCGGTTGCAGACATACGAGAATGACAGCCAGACATACGCACGACACCCAGAGGCTAGTCAGAGAGCTCGACGTCGAGCGCCCACTGATCTAAGACATGCTGTTCGTACAGCAGCTCGTCGTCTTCCCCTGTCTGACTGTCTGGCAAGAATGGGTTGAGGGCAAGCCACTCAGTGCGTGTTGCCTGTGCTGACAGAAGAAAGTCGGCCGCTGCAGAAAGCACCGGCAGTTTGTCCGATTGCAGCACACAACAAGTGAACACAATGGGATGTGACCTGCGCCACCAGCTCTGTCGTCACTCGAGACCTGGTGAGCCCATGGAGTTAGAGATTATACCGTGAAACTGCTCGTCGAGTTAGAGATCATAGCTCCCGGCCCCATAGCTCCCACTAAAATCCACCGAACGTCGCGGCAGCGGTTCGCGTGAAGGGCGAACGGCCTTACGTCCTCCCACGATGTCGCAAGATCGGCAAAACCGCTGCGCGGCTGAGCTCACACGCAGTGCCTTCAGCCCAACACGACAGACGTATAGCAGCCACTTATCTATCAGCCACACACACACACAACAAAGTGCAGCCAGACGACACACAAATGAATGAGCATCGCTGTCTGTATACAGGTTGATATTCTGATGCTCATTCAGATGCGATGCCGGCACTGCTCGAGTCAGATGATATATATCCTCCCGAGAAGCCAGGCTTCATCGATGTGGCTCTGTTTGTTGGGAAACGCGGCGATGTTGAGTCGGGGGACAAGGTCGTCTGGCGACCTGTGAGGAGAAGCGACGTCTATCGTCTGCCCCTCTCCAAGACCCACGCCAAGTACCGAGACGGCATGCCTTATGAGGAGCAACGCGTGCTTGTCGAGGCATCCAAGGACCGCTTTCGGAACGCTCTGGGCATCTCGCCAGGAGTGCCATTCCTCATTCTTGACCTTTCCAGTTCAGCGATTGGGGTCCGCCCTGACGCCATACAGCAGCACGGGGTCTACTTGATTAACCTCGAGGAAGGTGAGAACGCGGCCACCGAAAGGGGATGGAGGGAGGGAAGTCACTATGCCTTCACGCATGCGTATGTATATATATGAGTGTGTGTGCAGATGACTTCAACAAGTATATGTCGGCCCGCCGTGAGGCCGATTCCGTCCTCTCCAGTAAAGTGCCGGCAACGCAGGAGAGACAGCCATCTATCGCCCGGCAGCGCGGTGCCGCAACGTCGAGAGCACGAGTCCCGGCTCTGGGGTCGTGGCTGCAGCAGTTGGTGCGCCGAGTGACGCCCAACCGCGTCAGGCAGACAGATGACCAACTCACTCAGCCGCTGCTCACTTGTGGCGAGCCTGACGGGGCTCGGTGTGTCCCCAGACGTCTGCCCTCACGCCCAGCTAACTAGTCAGTGAGTGATGTGGTTGGTTGAGCGGTGTCGATGAGAGAGCGTTTCTCGCAGCCACGGGCCAAGAGGCAGCAGCTGGTGTGATGCAGAGTGAGCGAGGAACAAGAGGATGGGTTCTCTATGACGCCAACATGAGCCCATTTTTGCCTGTTCTTTTCGTTCAGTCGCTGCCGAGCTGTCGCCGCTCTTCGTACACGGGCAGCTTGTGTTGCACCGCCGCGCTCTTCAACGACGACGTGCAACCTTTCTTTGATCGTACTGATCAGACCCCATAGCACTGCCCAGCCCCTCGTTCGTCGTCACCCTCGACCCGCCAGGTTGCCTGAGGCGCCCTCCCGATCTGTACCTGCCTGGCGAGCCCTTACAGGCGGGGCTGGTGACGTCGCCGTGAGCGACAATCAGCGACATCTCGAGCAGCCGTCAGGGGCAGCATAGGATGTGTGGATCGCTGCCGTTGGACTGTGTGCCTGAAGATCCGTCAGCTGAGGCGTTTCAAATTGGCCTTCTGAGTTGTGAGGAGAAGAGGCGGTGGACGAGGAGTTCGTCGTGAGGAGTTTCGCGCGCAGTGACGTGCCGTTTACTGGCGACGGACCGGTGGAAGACGAAACGGATGAAAAGGATGAGACAGTTCAGCATACGGGGATACACATTGCATCGATTACATATGCTTTTCTCTACGTGTGCACACCAGATACATGCATGTGTCGATTGAATGGGACATGGGAGCTGGCGTTTTGCGTTTGATGAGCTGCACAGTGTGTACTTACGTAGAGCTCGGCGTGTGGATTCAGCCGGGCCACGGCCACCAACTTGAGGTGGGCGGGGCCCGGCTAAACCTCCATGCATGTCTCATCCTCTTCATGATCCTCTTCCCCAGACAGTTTTCGAGACTTGAGTAGAAAAGCGAAAGCGGGACAAGTCGAAGACTCATGAATATCTGCGTGTTTGTAGCTTAATTTTGTCCTGCCACGTTGCACCGAGGTTTGGAAGGAAATTGATGCTAGCTCATAGCCAAGCGCGCGCGCGGAATCGCAGCGCACTCGCACAAACACGTGTAGCTTGTGCGAAAAGGCCGGTGAGGACCTTTCCTGTAGTTAGCTCAATAATAGAGGATCTGCTGGGCGGTAAGTCCCAGAGTAAGAGTGCTTTTACTTTAATAAGACCGGTGGACTGGCCAATCAGTCAAAGTTGTTTCTGTCCACGTATGGC